GGGGAAAGCTGAAATATCTTTATTTTATGCGGCACACAAAGGGTAGAGAGAGAGTGACTTTCACATAATAGAATTCCTAAAGGATATTGAATTTAAAGAGAGACGGGAACTATGGACTGATGATTAAATATACAAATAATATAGAAATACATTATATTATATCTTTAGCTCAACTTAAAACAAGTCTTGGCAAATATAGATAATCATTGAATTCAGGGCTTTTCCTTTGCTCAACTTTTGCCATGTTTTATGTATTAGAAAGTATATTTTATCCAGCAAATACACTTGCTCAGCAAAAAGAGCACTTTAAATTCGACTTTTTCACATGTTTGTTCAACTCTCCTGCTACCCTTCGCACGCATAAATTGTGTGGTTTATCTTTTTATCGAGCTGAGTCGAAAGCTTTAAAGTGCTGCCTTGGCAGTGGCCAAAATCTTCCTTCTGCAAACAAAAAGCCATTCATATTTTGCCAACTTTTTGCTATCCCTTTTCCGGAGTCGGAGGGGCCAAAACAAAGCAATTTCCTATCTATCAGATTAAACTATAAATTTTATAAAGTTGACTGCATATTCACGGCAATCGAAACGTAACGAATTTAAATGGCCAAACAACGAGGAGCAGAGCGACAGAAAAGTCAAGAGGCCAGAATGCCATTCAATAAATGCCTGGACCGAGGGGCATCCGCGGGGTTTGCGCCAATCGAAATGAAGCCCGAAGCGATTTCGAAAACTCAATGGCTTGAATTTTATGAGTTTTGGCGCTCGACGCCAGCTACCAAGCATCCAGCATCCAGCATCCAGCTTTCAGTTCTCAGATCTCACCACTCCTGGAGTCCGATTCCGCTTCCTACCCAATTTTCGGTTATTAGTTTTTCCACAGAAGGTTGTGCAGCCAGTTTTCCCTTGCTGCACAGTGAGAAATTGGATACGTAAAAATTTACATAATTAAGAAACTAAAATATATATTAATACATTTAAAATATAATTGATTTACGGTAAAAGTAAAGGGAAATTTCTTAATTTTTCAAATAGGTATAAGGATGTTTCTGTTATGGCTAGTACTTTAATCAGAAGCCTAGTTTATGGTTAATAATCACAGTAACTAACCCATTGATCATTTGTAATTATAAATAATATTCTTTGTTAAGAAAAGTAATTATAGTACAGGAAAGGAAACTAAATTGGGGAAGCGGAAATTTATATACCTGGAATGGATGGAATGGAATCAAAAACCGATCATAACTAAGCTTAAAGTATTTGCATTTCCAAAATCGATATTTATTGATATTTTTATATTTTCAAATTGGAAATATTTATAATACATTTAAACAGATTTTTCTCTGTATAGTTTTCCCGGGGTTTTCCCTTTTTTTCCTTTTCCCGGTTCGGTCTGTTTGCCTTTGTGGCCAGGCCGCGACATTATCGACTCTCGGGGAGTTGATGCCGCGAGCTCTTAGTTTTCGGTGGAACCGGAATCCCGAAGGGTGACACGTGCCATGGCAATAACCATAACCCGGGTCAGCTAGTCCCATTCGCATTGCCTTACTTTTTTTTACTCAGACCCTTAAATAACGCTACTAATTATCGCCAAAGAGAAAACACAGCAACAACACCAACAGAAAAAGAAAACCTCATTTCCTTAGCAGCATTTTGTTCGCTTTCCCATTAACAAAAGTTCTACATTTATTGTTGCTGTTCTTCTGAATGTTGTTTTCATTTTTGGCAAATTATTGCCGGTTCCTTTCAAAAATGCTCCCCCCTCTACGCTGCATCCCGTTTAATAAAATCGAAGTAATGTTTTACTCATCGCTTTTCTGCTTTTTCCCCAACGACGAGAGGGATGTGCCCCGCGCTTTGATTAGCGAAATTAGCGACAGACGCGAATTTCTCGAGTCTTGAGGGGTGACTTTTCTAAGGGGGTCTCTTTCTATGTATATATTTCTATATATTTTCTGCTGAAAGCGGATTTTAGGGTGGGATGGTGGGTGTGGATTTGTACCAAAAACTTGGGTGCTGAGTTAATTAGCAAAATTGTAGAAGCAGATAGCAACCGGAGAAAAGTTTTTAAAGCTATTTACAAGCGTAAATTGTAACTTTTTGACTTCTGTCTGTGCTGGGGTGTATTCGCGAAAATACTATGAATGGAAATCTGAAATATAATGTTATTTAAGTTGCCCAAAAAAATAGACTTCTTTGCAGACAAGTCAAGAACAAATACCAGTTAAAGTTGCCTGTATTTAAATACTTTTCATTCATTAACTAAGTATATAATTTTTATTTTATAAAATCCTTAAATGTTCCAATGACTTGCCAGTGGAAACCCCCTCTGCTCCCTTGGAAAACTCAGCAAATATCCAACGCTAATTGCTCTACACTTGGGAGCTTGGGGCGTGGCACTGGTTGAAAGCAAGAGTCTTGTAATTTGTATATGATAAGTCATTGAGCTGCCATCTAAGCTGCTCCAAAGGGAGTGGGGAAATGGGGGCGGAAAGGATGCCAAGGGATGGCTATTAATTTGAGCTTAGTTCTGCGGCATTCCCGGCAACAAAGTCAGATAAAAGCCGGCAAATTAAAGTTAAACTTGCGACTCTGACCACGCCCACTCAATTATGCAACGCACACAAATACTCGTTTATCTGCGAGTGTGCACGGTGTGTGTGTGTGTGGGTGTGTGAGTGTAAGTGTGTGTCTGTGAATGTTTGCTTTGTTGTTAAATATTTCGTTTCCGCTAGCACAAGTTCAGCTCGGTTGCTTGGTATGCAAAACGAGGCGCTGCCAGTGTCAGGACTTTTCGTCCTGCGTTCGCAATAGTTGCCGCAGCAGGAGCAGCAGAAGGAGCAGGAGCAGGAACAGCAGCAGCTACCCATATTACGTACAAGTGTCGGGGCATAAGTTGTTCCTGTGCTGCAGTTGCTTCTGGTTCTGGTTCTAGTTCTGGTTCCTCTTTCCTGGCACGCACACTTGCCAAAGTCGAAAATTCAATTTCCTGTTTTTCGTGTTTGTATGTGAGCAAACCTATTTTTTCAGACCACCATATTCCCCTGCCAAATGCACTTGAACAAAAAACGCTAAACGAAACTTATAGCTGAAAAGGATTAAAGAGGATTTATTAAAAAACTGAAGCAATTCAGGACTCATAGAGGTTCGAAGGAAATGCGGTTTCTTGCCACATAAAAAGCAATAACAATCTATAATCTTTAACTTGTATAATAATACAACGAAATGTATATAAGCCAACTCTAATCTGAAGTTGAATAAGCTTATTAAAAAAAGCATTTTATAGTTTATTTGATTAACAATAAGTAAGTACATTATTATCCATGATTATAATCCTAAATCAAATGTCTTTAAATATAAATGTTTGTAAAAATCAATTTCATTTTATTTTAAATATTAAAAGGTATATATAACCATTCACTTATTTCTAGATATAAAATCCAATTAACTATGATTTTTCTAGTACTGTACTTGTACTCCTCCTGTGCCCTGGGCTTGTCTTGCTGTTTTGTGTTGGTTTACTTGGCGTTTTGCATTTTGCATTGTATTAGACGTGCATTTTGCATGCCCAGCGTGAAGTGTGCGAGCCGTGAGAAGTCGCTGTGGTGGTGAATAACGGCCAACGGAAGAAATGGAAAGGGATAATGGGTGGCCAAGATCTTCTGCCTTCAGTCTGTGTACTCCTTCTCCTTCTCCTTATCCTTCTCCTCGGGGGGCACACACACACACGCGAACCACTTCCGGCCTGGTAGCCATATGCGTGCTGCCGCCATCTCATCCTCGTTATGCCCTCTACAAGGGCTGGCAACGTTTGCCAAAACAATTGTTAGCCCTTGACGCTAAAGCTAAAGCTAAAGCCAAGCGACCAGCAGGCGTCACAGCACTTTTCAATGCAATTTTTGTATTAGAAATTCATTTCCACAGCAAACAAAGGAGTGTGGTTTGGGGGCGTGGCAGCAGCTGGTGAGATCCTGGCAAGCGGATGAGTTGCCATCAGCACGTTTACCAAATGCAGAAGACTTGTCCTCGTAGTGTATAGAGTTCAGTTGTCGTGGTGTTAAATTTACTGGTGTTCCGGAAAGTTGGTGTACAGGTTCCAAGATACATGTATTTACCAGTTACTACTACTATAAAAGATTCTTAGCTAAGCCACCACAGAAACAGCACTGATTAGTCACACAATTCATTGCTGTCATTGCTCCATATAAATTATCATATATAATCCTATCCAAAATGCTAAAAAAATCCTCTTGTTTATTTGCAATTAAAATCAATTTATTTATGAGGATTGTGAGGTTTCCCTCTGCCATTCTAGTCAGGTAATTCCCTCGAACACATGAAATAAACGCACTCGTGCTTAAAGTCACTGGAGTTTTCTTTTACATATATAGTATATATTCTTCTTTTTTTCTTGCAATATTGGAGACGCCGCAGGACAGGTAACTAAGGCAGTAAATGACAGTAAATGATTGAACTGGCCCGCCCCGGCCAGTGACAAAGTAAGACCGCTTACGTGACCCAGGACCTGGAGACCCCAATCCTCTGCCGTCAGGATCCCCACATGATTTCAAATTCCATGCAGGTAAAAATTCTGGCGCTGAAGATTGCAGCTAAAGCCAGAGACAGAGTCAGAGCCCAAGCCCAAGCCAGAGCCAAAGCCAAAGCCAAAGCCAAATCCATGAAAAAGTGGGAAAGCAATTCAGATTACTGCAAGAGGGACATTGGAGCTGCAATGAATTGAGCTGTGAAAGCGGTGATGCACTGAGATAATTAATGTCCAAAAGAATCTTGAAAAATATGAAGAAGTTAGTAAAAAATGTAACAAAAAAGATCTTATTTAAGAAAGTATTTGCGTATTACTTCGCTTTTTTAGAATATGAATCTGTTTATTAGCTGGTGTAAACAATTACTCGAATCAATCCCAAGAACTCCCTGATAATCTGTATTTTTTAATCTATAAAATATAATAATAAACCAACTTCTATTTCTTTATGTGCTCGAAATATGAAATATAACTGCGGCAAGTTCGGAAGCGGAGCTCAAGAACAATGCAAGGAGGAGCAGGGCACGTGCCAGGTCCAGGATTTGGCCCCCAACCAGCCCGACCAGCAAACGTACCATTCATCATCATCATCAACGGGCTCAGGCATCGCGCGTGATTATCCCCATCGAAGGGAGAGCCATTAGCTGGAAGCTGGATCCCAGATTCTGGATGCTACGAATATATATGCATTCGAGGATGCTGCATTTTCCACAATTGTAGTTGGGTGCAAAAATTCACGCTCGAAATCCTTCACCATTGTTCGCGGCCGGCGAACTATAATACAGCTGCAATACGTGATGGCGATTTGGTTGTCATTATTTTGTGTGCCAAGTGCAACGGAGATTTCAGCTTGTTCTCTGTCCCCAGTAATCAATGAAATTGTCACATAATTGTGAGACAGTAATAACCAGCGAAAAGGTCACCGAATAAAGAGTTTTCACAGCAAGTTAATTCCATGATTCCGAACAATGCCAAGGAAATTGTGTAGTGTGAAGTGCTTTGAAAGCTTTCAATTGTCAATGACAGGAAAAGGAAGTGGGAGTTGGGAGAGAATTATGAGCGATATAAGCATTACTTACAGTTGGAATGCTAAGAGTTTGAAGGGAAAAATAGTGTAAAAAAATTGTATATACTTGATTTGTTTCTTTAATTAAGTTTCCATATTTTTTTTTAGTATTTATTATGTAGCTAATATTAAATATTGTGAATAGTTTGGTTTGTACTAAGATTTATGCGATACGTTCTAATAACAGTATCTAGAAGTTCTTATTCCATTTGATCAATATAAAAAACTATACTCCTTTAATTATTATATTAAATTTTTATTAAATGTATTATTACTTATGATTCTATAATTTCTTATTCAGAAACAAGCTTTACAAATGTATTTTCTTACTCTAATACATAGAAACGAACATATTTTCATGCAAATCCTTATTAGTTTGACCCCATTTTTATTTCTCTGCGGCGTGCGGGTATTTTCAACAAGAAGAAGTATTATATATCAAACCCCAAATTGGACCTCGTAAATCCCACTAAAATGACAAAACAATATAAATATTTTCGACCACACACACACTGACCCCATTCCCAACTTTCCAACTTCTGGACAAACAAAGAAGGTTCCCATTTTATTGGCCTTCCCCGGATAGGACAAGAAGATATATAGAGAGTTGGGGAGGTTAGGTATTCGCCGATTCCTACGCATATTAATATGTCAGAATTTTTGCATGCGCTGCACAAACAAAACGTATAAATTCATGAGCACCGAAAACGATTTAGTTAAGCCGCTAAATTGCCTAAATTCGATGAGCAACGAAATATAAGGGGAAAAATTGGAAAATCAAGCCGAGTGCAAATACTTTTGGAATGGAAACGAAAAGCGATGGCATGCGGGGTGCGGTTGCTTATACCACAACAAATATTTTTGCCAAACCCCCACACACTCGCACACACACACAACATAAATAAAATAAAAAGGGCGCCAAGGCGAAGGCATAAAAATTTCATCGATTTCCGGTTAAAGGCAAATATTGTAACCATAAATATGAGCTGACTATAAATATATATAGATCGGGTAAGGGGGTTGAATATGTGTGTGCGTGCGTGAGGGTTAACAGAGGCGCAAAAAAAAAAATTCTTCCTAGCGGAGGCGTGGCACTTTCACGCCAATGTGGCGATAATGCGATTGCTTTCGGCTTTGGCTTTGCTGCGCGCGATTACATTTCGATTTGATTTCGATTTGCTCTTGCATCGCCAACGACATCAGCATCAGCATCAGCCTCGACATCGACGTTTTTATTTTATTTTCATTTGCCGCTGTCGGCAGAGACAAAATTTAAATTGTTTTTGCCATCGGCTGAAAACAAATTCTAAATAAAACGGAACGTGACAAGCGAATATTACTCGCAATCCGATTGCAACGAATTTGAGATGAGCTGAAACGAAAGTGTCCTTTTCTTGGGGATTTTAAACCCGGAAACATTTTATATTTTAAGAGAGATATAAATTATATTTGCTATCATTTAATTTATAGGGAATAAAAATTATAATTAGTTCTAAAGTACCATTATTTTGGAGTCAAAACATTGTTATAAAGCTATCTCCAGCACCTTTATTATATTAAAATAGTGAATGGTGAAATGACGAAAATTTCCTTAAATTTGTATATGCCCTAAATTTAATTAATAAAGAATTTACTATGATAAAATAACCATTAAATATTTTTGTCCTATTACCTTTACTTTTTGGTTTTTATACCATGAACGGTATCACAATTTTAATCAAAAGCGTGGAATTAAGTGAAGAAGTCATTTCCGACCGTACAAAGCATATATATTCTTGATCAGCATAAAGAGCAGAGTTCATATAGCTATATCCGGTCATTTTTTTTTTTAATTATATAGGGTTATCGAAAATTGGCAAAATTCTTTTTTCTTTAAATTTTGTAATTAAGTATGAGGATTTGCTAAGCTCGCAAAAACTAAAAGAGGAAAGCTTTCCGAATACAATAAAGGAATTTTTGGCTTAGTTATCAGTTTTTTAAGCTTTAGATTTGTCAAAAAAAATTGTCTAATAACATATTGATTAAATAAATTGTAAAAGATTTATTCCCTAACATTTTCTAGGGTACAGCACAATCAATATGGCCAGCCTATATTTATTCAAAGCCCGCACTTTTTGGCACGCATATTTGTTTACCACTTGGCTGTGCAACAAAAGCTGTGAGTTTTCATGCCATTCGTAGACTTTTACGCAAATTGCAGAAGCCGAATCAAAATCGGAATCAAAATCAGTGCCAAAAATTCGACCCCCAGCCTGAAAACCGTACCGGGAACAGTTGGCGGCTGTGGCTGCCGGTTGGCGAATCCCAACCAGACCAGACCCAAACCAAGGCAATCCTCATCCAAATCCAAGCCCAAACCAATACGGCTAAGTGCCCGGGGAGGCAATCGCATCGACATACTCGGGATTTATATTTATGCCTCGCACTGTTGGTAAACAACAATTTGCCATTCCGCCATCGAACAAAACCGCTGCGGGGGCCTCGATGTGAATTAAAATTTGGCTAACAAAAAATCAAGCGAAACGTATAAAATGCATTGTCAATGCAGCATCAAAGTAAGATTATTTACCAAAATTCCTGCAAGCCTTTCTATTGTTTGAATTTCATTGTCAGTTTAAGGCAGTTTGAAAGGGAACATTTTAGGAAGTAGTCAAGGGATTAAAAAAAAAATATTTAAATAGTAAACTAAGAGCTTGCATCGATTGATTTATAAGAAAATCTTCTAATAATTAGCCCTACATCGTATTTTAAACAAATAAATACTTGAAAAAGTATTCATTTTAAAGAAGCAACTATTAATTTGTAAAAATAAGAAAGATTCGTAAAAGACAACAATATTCTCCATACAAAAGTATTACTAAAACGTATTCAATTTCCAGCTAACCAAATATTCTCCCTTCTAGAAAATTGAACATTAATGCCAGTCTCTAATGGTCCTTTTGTTATTTTATTCCACAACAGCAAACATCCGATAATTTTCCTCTTTGAGAGGAATAGAGCCCCGGGGGTACTTTTAATTAAGTATACGCCACGTTGTTTGCAGTTTCAACTTGAAAACTCTTAAATCAAAGCCAATCGCTCCGTAAGTCACGCTTGTACATATGCAAATAAATTCAGACCATTAAATCGCTTATTTGTTTATGTTTTTCTTTCTCAGTAATAATAACTACAGTTTAATGAGCCCCGCCCCTCATTGGCGGGGGAAACTTACAGAAACCACAAAAGCCGGCAAGGGCTTAAAACTGATTAAAATGAATGACGTTAAGCGGCGGGCATATTTTAATTATTTAATGCTAATTAATATGTTTTGTAAAACCACAAAAGCAGCAACAGCAACAACAACTACTATCACTACTTCTACGGTGGCAGCTGCTCGCTATTAACATTTCATAATGAGTTTTGCATTTAATTTTGTCAAAGCGTGCTAAGCTCTGTTGACAGGCGAAAAGTGAGTGTGTGTATCTCCCAGATACATGTGGCAAACTATTGAGACAGACTGTAATTAATTTGTTTGTTGACTTGGCAACCAAACCGATGGCACTGACAAGGAGGTGGGAGCTAAAAGGACAGACGTAGAGGGCGGAAAATGGTTTGGGGAAAACTCAAGTATATGTGTGAGTAATTTGCGGGCTGCTCGTCAACTTTCCTTTGCATATCTCACAGCTGTCAGAGACGTAAAAAGTGTGTTGGCTTAGTTTTGTGATATTTCGAGCGACAAAGTAAACAAAAACACACAGACACAGCACTGGAGAAATATAACTTGCTTTCCAGGGAATTGAAAATAAAGTGTTTGAAGTGTTCTAGCAAAATGAAGAAGGTTTGAGAAGATCCTTGAATTAATCGAAGGAAGGAAATTGTAATTAATTTAATTGATGTAAAGACAAGGCATACATTTTTTGCTTTAAAACTTAATTGATTTTAGTCTAGAATACATATTATTCTATTATATAACTTAATCCAATAGAAATACTGTAGGAATTCATTTCGGGAACTTGAAAATATATCTCGGTTTCCACTTACTTTCTATTTTCTCCCCCCCTGCACAGTGCTGATTTATGCTGCACATTAATATTTTAATGTCTTCATTGCCCGGGCCTAGGCAACAAAAAAAAATAAACAAAAAGCCTCCCCATTGAGGCCTCGGTCTGTGTCTCTGAGAGTCCAGGAGCAATCCATTAAACGTTATCAGCCAGTGACACAGTCCTGGCTCATTCCAAAAACCCCTCGGAAAAGACAACCCCCCTTTTGTGTGGGACTGTTTTCGCACATTTGTCTTGTTGCGGGGAAAAGCCCGGGGAAAACTTTTGAAGGCTAGCCATACTACAACTACTGCACTGAAGAGGGACCAGAGATACAGATACGTATGGAAAAAGAGATGGAAATGGATGGGGATAGACAAGGGTTAGGGTTTCCTGCAGCCTTTGGCGAAATTCAATTATAGCAAATCGTATGCAAATGAGTTTCGGGGGCCCTGCAAAAGTTAAACAGCAAAAAGTCGGGGAGGG